AAGTCGCTGCTTTGCTGCTGATTCCCTGGGGAAGGCTTTTTGTGTAGCTCAGGTTTTAATTGTTGACCTTGTTAGCTCTTCTCAGTCTTGTGAGGTCTGGTACACCTGGGTTTTGTGGAAACTCTGATCTGGGCCTGAGTCTTTTCAGCAAACTGCACCCCGTGCAGTTCTGTGTTCCTGACCAGTCTCTACTGAGTGGACCTGTGCTGATTGGAGGACAGATCAGATGTCCATGCTGTGCCACAATGTTCACCGGGTGGTATGTCTACCCAACCCCCCGCAGTCTAAACACTTCCCATGGGACGGGCCATACTCGGGTCCCTTGCGATGACTGAGCAGCATCTGAGTGGCTTCTTTTTTCAGTTTTCCGTGGCTCCTTGCTCCTGTGTGGGTCCGTGGGAACCCTGTTAGTGGTCTTGCTGGCCTGGGGACCACCAAGGCCCTCTTCTCCCCTGCAGCCTCCAAGCAACTTTATACAAAGGGCACAGCTGCAGTTTTTGCCAGCTCTTGGTCCGTGTGCTCACCAGGGCCAGCCTCGAAGTCATCAGGGCTTGAAATAGTGGGAGTGGTCCTTTCTTTCTCTCATCGTGGCTTCTCTTGACTTCATGAACTCCATAGGTCTCTCCTCTTCTTCCCCTGAGCTCTAGTGGCCCCACCTTGGCAGTCATTGCTTTTTAGTTGTAAATTGGTTGATTTTGGGAGAGAGTGTTGCTGGGGACTGTCTGTTCCGCCATCTTGATTGGAAGTGTAGCTGTCTTTTTGTAACTGGCTTATGACACTTAGCATAATGTCCTTAGTGTTTATCTATGTTTCAGCATGTTACAGGATTTCTTTCCTTTTTAAGGCTGGGTAATATTCTATTGCATATTTGTAACACATTTGTTTATCCATTCATCTGTCAATGGAAATTGGGGTTGTTTTCACCTCTTGGATATTGTAAATAAATCTATGAACATGGGTGTGCAAATATCTCTTCAAGACCTTCCTTTCAATTCTTTTGGATATATATACCTGGAGGTGAGATTGATTAATTATATGGTAGCTCTATTTTAAATTTTTTGATGAACCTCCATACTGTTTTCCATAATGGCTGTAGTTTACAATCCTAACAGTAGACGTGTTCTTTGCCCATTTTTGAATTGGGTTGTTTGCCTTACTGAGTTGTAAGAATTCTTTATATACTCAGAATACTACACCCTTATTAGATATATGATGTGCATATATTTTCTCCCATTCTGTAGGTTGCCTTTTTACTGAGCACAGAAGCCGATAACATGGCACTGACTTTTGTAAGAAGAAAGGCTTTAATCTCAAAGTCAACTGGCATGGAGACGAGGGTACAGCTCTCAAATCTGTCTCCCAGTACCAAGGGCTGAACAGGCTTTAAAGGGTAGTATGGGCTGGCTGATGAGCTCAGTTGTTTTTTGCTTTTTTTTTTTTTAAAGATGCCCAGTAAGGGGATCTTAACTCTTGACTTGGTGTCGTCAGCACCATGCTCTCCCAAGTGAGCTAACTGGTCATCCCTGTATAGGATCCGAACCTGTGGCCTTGGTGTTATCAGCACCACACTCTCCCGAGTGAGCCACGGGCCGGCCCTAGAGCGCATCCTTATAACACCAAGGTCATGGGTTCAGACCCCCTTACTAGCCAGCTGCCAACACACAAAACAAAACAAAAATAATAATAAAAAAGGGGTGGGAGGTAATCCTGATTCGCTACCTTCTAATCAGGCCATATGATGGGGCAATAGGGGATTGGCTAGCTCCAAGTCAGGTAAGATATGATAATATGACAAGACTGATTGGCTAGAACAGGCAGGGGCTGATTGGTTGATAAAATCAGGAGTTGATTGGTCGAGTCTGAATCCAGTCCTCTGATTGGTTGGATCTGGATACCTGGGTGGGGGATTTTCAGGTTCCTGGGGTTATTTGGAGGGCAAGGTTCTCTCCATAAATTCAGATTATACCCTACAAAATAACTTTGAAATAATTTGAGATAGGTAAATGAAACCTATTTTGCTCATTTTTGATGGTTACAATGTCTTTTGATGCACAGAAGTTTTTAATTTTGATGAAGTCCAGTTTACCTAATTTTTTTATTGTCGATCATGGTTTTGGTGTCATTGAAGATTTTGTGTGAGTGAAGAAAAAACACTGAAATGTAAGAAAAACACAAACCATTGTGTTCTATCTCTGCTATTACTCAGTAATAACAATCATCAACAGAGAAAGACTTCTGACTCCTTTGACCAAATGTGTGAGGGTTTCTCCACATTGACAAGCAAGGCAGCAATTCACCAGTGGACACCAGCTGGGTGCCCTCCAATTCGATTCAGACACTATCTACTTGGAGATAGCCTCAGATCCCATGGGTTGAGAGCTCAGTTTCCAAGACTTCCCCCCCCCCCCCACCCACACTTCTGATGCCAGTCACAGCTATAGGTTGTTTTACCTGTGCTTCTGACAGACTGGCTATAAATTGGGGTTCCCACAACCACCTTGGGTTTAATTAATTTGTTGAGTGGGTCACAGTACTTAGGGAAACACGTTTACTGGTTTATTATAAAGGATATTTTAAAGGATCCAGATAAAGAGATGCATAGGGTGAAGTATGGGGGAGAAATGGGTTAATGATTTAATGGGTAATCAGGGAGTGGTTCTGATGGCTTTATAAGGAGAGTGAGTGAGCAGTTAACTCTCTTGCTCCTGCCATTCTTGCCATGTGATAGCCTGCATTTCCATGGGACTCTATAGGGAGTCCCCACCAAGAAGAAGGCCCCCACCAGATGCATCCCCTGGACCGAGGAGTTTCCAGTCTCCCAAACTAAGCAATAAGTTTGATTTCTCTAGAAATTACCCAGTTTCAGGTATTCTGTTATAAGCAACAGAAAACAGACTAATACACACCTTAAAACTTTGTTAGTTTATTAGCTGTAATAGCTTTCTTGTGGATTGTTGAGATTTTCTACATGTAGGATCATATCATCTGCAAATAGAGATAGTTTTACTTTTTCCTTTCCAATTTGCATGCCTTTTATTTATTTTTCTCACCGAGTTGTTCTGGCCAGCACCTCCAGTACAATGTCAAATAACAGATGAAACTGGGCATTCTGTATGTGTAATCTTGACTGTAAATTTTAGAATTACCTGAAAACTCTTGAGGACTACAGACAGTAGCTGGGATTTCAACTCCATTTTCTATATGGTTTCTTTTTTTCTTCACTAGTATGGCAGGAATTATAAAAGCTTTTCTTGCAAATCAAGTGAAAGCTTTTAACTGATGGTTGTTTGGTACCTGTGAACTTCCTGATGCATAAATGGCTCACACCAATCTTTG